CTTCTGGACTACATACCACAGGTCGATCGTACCAGCCAATCAGAAATCGTATGGCCCATACAAGAGCTGTACGACGCCAGAAATACTAGAACGCGATTAGCAGAGGCCCTGATGACCAATGAGCTTGTTTTGTACATAATATTTAATCCCCTTTATTTCTTTCAATAAAGGAACTACTACTCCTGTGGCCTTTTCCTCGTATCTCAGTTACGTGGGATATTGCGTGCAAGTACCAGTGTGGTCCAGTGCTTACGCCTCGTTCGTGATTCGTATTTCGTGTTCAGTGCATATTACAACTAATACGATTACTACGGATAGTTTTGTTCATGCTCCAATGATATAATCAGGTGATCACTAAGAGTTGTGAGAAACTGGGATTCTTTGACGCAATCTAGAGGCACCAAATTTTGTTCCGTAACTCTCCAGAATCCGTGAATTTAAGGCACCAGAGACTTATCACTTCAGTTTATGGTAATCATTGTATCTTTGCGAGTATTTAAAGAGATTAAAACAGTTTTCAGTGCACTAGCTAAATATTGGCTGAAATAAAAAGCAAATTTTACTAAATGAATTACCGGGTATTTCGAGAAATACAGCTCCTCAAACCGTTTATCATCATTCCACAGGGTGGTTGCAGTTCCTGGTGGCAGAGGCAACTTGACCACGATTCGAGACAACGGCTTCTCATCTTTCCCACTCTCCAGTTCCCTGTCTACAGATTGTGAACTTGTATTGCCTTCCTTGTGTTCCACCAGTTGTACATTGTAACCGGGAACCGGAAGACCGGCTGAACCAATCGGGGCCACACAACCCTGAGTGTTTGCACAACCATCCTCGTAACCAAGACAGCTTGATGTGATTGGCCAACCGGTCTCAGTTTGCCACCATGTGTCACTGATTTTCACGTGAGCGGGAAGCATTCTTGCCAACCATCGCATTGTGCTTTCGTCACAATGCTCACCGGCCACAAACACGTTGGCTAAATTTCGTAATCCCGGTCGTCCGGTGCGATACTTCTCACTCAGATCGAGTTCCGGGTCTTCACTGCGTATAGCACGTGCAGCGCTTGGGGTGAGGAACCAACCGCGAACTTTGTTCTCCGAAAGGACACGAAAGAATTGGGCGGCATCAGGAGTTCCAACGGGTTTACCCTAAAATATGATAAAACAAATTTGCGAAAAGTAAAGTATATAAGTATTTTTTCTATTGAATATGTTACTTCGTGTAACTGTGCTGATAGGTAACATTTGTGTGGTTTATTCAAGTCAGATTTGCAGCAAATCATTATTGCGATTCATTGAATGTTTCAAGCCTACTTTCCGTTTTACTTTTTCTTCTAATTCGGCAATATGAGCACGCTACTTGTTATCCATGCAATAGAAGAACATGCCCTATTCACTTCAACCCATGCAGTGGCATAGTCATACTTTAGAGAGGACTATATGCTCTGATGACGATGATGATTTGGATGATGATGATATTTGAGCATCATCCACACAGCGTGCACTGTTGCTCTACACAAACAAGCGTCTCTTCAGGGAAACAGTTACAGGTTTTGATCGAACTCGTGCAACACTCTGACTTTCATCAGATCCCCTCCCCACCTAACCCCAGGTGTTTTGAGCCTCATTCACGGGATTGAGTACTGTATTGCCCCACATCAGATGCAAAATATCTGTTTGCTCTATTTACGTTTTTGCACTATTATCGTCGAGATTCTTGATACGTAAGAGAGCCGGTGGGACGGGGAATTATCCACGCGGTATCTCACAAGCCACGAGTAGAGAGTGAATGTTCCGACATTTGAGTGTATTTGGAATCAGAACTATTCTTCCTGTTTACTCTTTGTATTAACAAGCGATTCTAGATAATGAAAGTATCGCATTGAAATTCCTCGTATAGAACGAATTCATCACAATTGGTGGTAGGTGGTTGGTTTGTTATTTGTGTCTTAGTAATACTTTCTCTACCTGAGGAAGAAACAGATGAGCGATATCGTACAAGCACAGATCATGACTGGTATCCAGCAACTCAGAGTTATTCATCACATTGGCCTTGAGCGTCAAACTAACAAGCGATGAACTACGATTATTCGTGTGACATTCCGATGGATGACAGGACGTGAATCCATGTATGGTTCGCGTTGTCTGTATCACCGAAGGCCTAAACTGGAGTGAGGATCCACCATACGCGTTCGCATGGTAGAAATGGACAGATGAACTCAGAGATTGGGACTTCTAGTTGCTCCGTTGCAATGAACTCAAACGGTAGATGAAACCCCCTCCGAGACAGAGCTGCGTGCTACCTAAAGTGTATCCAGGTCGAAGACAGGGAAACGGCTATCAATTTGGTGACTAGCCGTGATTAAGGTGGGCTCAGGCTCACTGAATAAGCAGTCGCAACGANGTTGGTAGGGTTCTCCTCAGAAAAACTACGCGAGCCTGAGGACAGTACTGTGACCTGAGATTCACTGCCCTTGTGTCCTTGTGAAACATTTTAGTGCAACTGAGACGCGCAAAGAGAACACACAGAATACCCCTCCACCTCAACCCCGGGGCAAAAATATCGGCTGGATCGAGAAAATTCAAACATCGAAACAACCTTTTCGGGTTTCGAATACAACAATATGCTTCAGTGCTTCATAATAAGTAGTATGTGAAGGACTGGACAAAATTTCCCTGGGAGCACAGATAAATTTTGTCTAGTCATTCACATAGTACTTATTATGAAATATTCTACCAAGACCATCAGGTCACGTTTGTTGCAGTTAGTGGTATCTAACCCAATTAAAAAACATCGAATCATAGCATTGATTCTTCATTGTACTGGCTCTGAAAGAGCTGTCTATCCAATGGTTACCCGGTGTTGCAAATAAGGTTATTGTGACGAAAATGCTTCAGCACTGTCATTCCAATGCTGGATGATGAAATTAGTTCCCCCCTTCATCCATATAACACTGCACATATAAATATACGTACAGATACTCCCTCGCCGAACTACGACACTATTCTTTTGATCATTAGCAGTTCACATCCATTTTTTCGCCAAATCGTTTTACAAGATGCATAATAGTTCGTCCCTTTCAACTAGCATCATTCCGCTTCGGACATCACTGTAAGCAACGAATCAGGTAAGCCTTCCTCTTCAGTCCGAAAACACTGGGCCTTCAGAATATCAAAGCGGATTTGGCCGGATTCACTCCGGAGACTGTGGGAGGGGAAGCCCAGTCTTCCCCTGAGAACTTTCATAGTTTGCATTTTGAACGGATGCGGAGCGGTTGCCAGCGTGTGAACATATCGGCGTTTTGTCGATGGCATCTCCATCGCCACCCACCTGACCCCCATTCCGGACAAATGTCTATAGACAGCGAGCAACCCCATTAAATACTACACGTTTTCTTCCTTACTCAACTCCGTTTTGGCTGACGATACTAATAAAGGCTCGCACTGTTTCTGACTGTCTTTTTACTGGAATCGTTGGGGCACGCATATTAATACCAGGTTCGGTGATAGTTTGTTGAGACACAACGGAGACCCTAGCCGAATTATGGGGTTTCTCTTAGCTTACTCGGATTGATGATTTCATACCTCGAGATTTGTAATCACTGTTTTACTCACATACATACAAACACACACGCAAGTCCTGCTTAACTTTTGAATACCGTTTATCGTGAAACCTTACTTGGTCGTAACAATGTGACTCACTCGGTTCGAGGTCCGCTCCGACGATGTGATCCTATCTCCTCTGAGTGATCTATCTGTCATCTATCTGTCTCTTGCACTCGACTTGAATCAGCGCCAAAACCTCAGACAGATTTGTAGCCTCGTTTTACTTCATACTTTCAGTGTTTTTGACCAATTTATAATAGTACTGTTCACACTAAATCAGGTTATGCACACGATAACATTGAGGTTGTCACATCATAAATTTTGTTGACAATCGCTGCCTCAGTTACATTCACTAACTGTCAAACCCTAATCCTTAAAAATACCGTTGAGCGAGAACGAATAATTTCGATACACTTGGATATTGCTAAGCAAACGTTATCATTTCACCGACGCGGGACATCGAAAGGACTGTTCTCACAAAAATTGAAACACCAGTTGTCATCAAATGGAGAGAACCGTGCCATACCTCGTAAATGATTGTTGTGGCACGCTGTAGCAATGGTGCGTAGCAGCAGTATGAATGACCCACGACCCACCCGAATTCGCTTGACGCCCACCAGGAGTCACCCGGATGAATATCGTAGATCTTCTTAGCTGTATACTTCAAAGCGACCGCGTATCCGCCAGTGTCGCGGACGATACCTTTGGGATCACCTGCGCGAAAAGGGAAAACCAATGGAGAAAGCAATGGTTGAAAGAACCCTGAGCCGTGTTCAGCCCTATTCTTATCGGCGGTTTTGATTTTCAAGCCACACTGATTGTGTTCACTTCAGTTGTCAGTTTGTGGTTAGATATCTCGCTTGTACGAACGAATAAGTGATAATGATGACTCAGGAGTTAACCAGGTAATCAAATATGAATTATCGAAGCTCAGTAGCTCTAAAACGCATTTTGCGATTGTAGATTGCCACTTGAAACCCATAGTTTACATTTAACACCAAGTATAAAGTTATGGGCTAATCTGGTGCCGTTTGGGTTGATATTTCCAATACGATACCCAATTCATTTGGATACTACGACGAATGCACATTGAAGGTAAAGGTCCCCGGTCAATATAGGTGAAAGCTGTTCGCGCCGGTCACGACTAATGCACTTTGCGAGGAATAATACTTTTTCCTTATTGGCCATCTCAAGGTAAAGATCAGCGTCGTCGCCCAGAAGTTGGAGAGACAGCCTGCACTGATCCGATAGCCGACAACTGAGCTTGGTCAGTAATGATGCATAATGCCAGTGAAATCCACCTCTCCGCCAGGAAAAGGTTGCGTAACAGCAAGCAAGTAATTTGCATATCTCCGATGGTTGAACCTGTTATTTAGTTTGCAGCTCAGATGAAACGTAGGTTACGTGGAATAAATGTGTGGGGTTTTCTTCGACTGTGAGTGACGAACAAAGATTGCGGTGTTGATCTGAGATGGACGCAAGCGGAATTCAGGACCTGTGAGTAACATTTCAACTGCAGAGGAAATGAACGGGGCAGTATCATTCTCATATTCAGGTTTGAAGTGAGTAGAACGACCATCCATGCCCGTAAAATAGATTAATCTGAGCGTGTCAATCGATTATGCCGATCGGGACACAAGGAAAACAATGATACAAAGGTCGAACCGATAACGATAAACATAATGGTCGTGAGCAATACTCAAACAGCTAAAGAAAGAGCTCAACAAAACTTGGTGGGTGGATCAATAAGGTGATCAATGGGGCATGCAAATCACATGGCAAACAGGCCTCTAATGGGCGAATAAAACAGTTGAAGTCTCAATGGAATCACATTTTCGACAACAATATATGCAACCTAACTTTGGATCTGTATGTATTCTTGAACTTTCGTTACTCCATCAAATTCGATTATTCCGTGCCCTAGCACCGAAACCATAGTTTGTTCGCTCCGAAAGTGCATTGTTCTGCCAACAACCAGCTTGAGTAGCTCTCTCGAGTTACCAATTTCGGACAAAGAAACCGGGATGATTGGTTAATCTTTTTTTGGTCCATGCGTGTAGAGGCAATATCTCTATCAGATGGGGATAATTCTTATAGTTCCAATCGTACTTACGCACCAATTCGGAAGTGTCTCTTATTGACTGACACCGAAATTGCATTCGGTAGCTGTGAAATCAGCTTGGTTTGAAAGAGTTACCAGAATGATGCTGTCTACTTTATTTGGGAGGATCCGATGATCGCGTTTTGCATAACACAATTAGTTATATTGCGGGTCTATTAACAGATCATAGGTTGAATACGCAATACCACAGAACTGCGTCAAGGGTGAGGTGGGTAGGAGGTTATGAATCCTGCATGCATTTGACACTTATCTGATTCGAGATGCGGGGTTCTATCTTCTGTTGGGTCAATGGATGCGCACTTCTGATGAGGCCCGACTAGGTAGGCATATCCTAACATTTTCCGTTCACGCTACATTTGCTCTGCAGACGACCAAAGTAATTATGAACGGATAAACTAATATTAACCTTTCAATCTACTTTTTTGAGTATGCAACCTGACAAACCGCTTTTGGGAGGGGATATTGCAGCCATCTAGGTGCCACCTGGGCACACACACATAGTTCGGCGCTGGTAATAAGACGTCAACGTCAAATGATTG